GTGGGCTTTCCGGTTGCACGGGCAGGCAAGGGTCGGTCATCCCCAGGGCCAGCCGGCCTGTGCACCCCTGCAATGCTGTCCACTTTTGCCGGAGCTCTCTGCTCACACTCGACAAAGGCTATCAGAGAGAGCCTGTGTAAGAGCTCTCAAAACCTCAGTTTTCCCTATCTGGTAAATGGGGGCAGTGAAGTGCAGGTCCTGCTTAGTAGAGCCCTCATAGACGCAGGTGGGATAAGGAGGGTAAAGTTCTTCCTGGCTGCCTCTGAGCCGGTGCTCAGCTTGGGGGAGCAGGGTCACCCCTCCAGCTTCAAGAAGGCCCTGGGGCAGTCATGCAGGATTCTCAGCCCCTTCTCTCTCCAGGAGAGAAGAACCAAGAGCAGTGCCCTGGTCAAAACCTCCAGAGGCAAGGGAGGGAGGAACAGGCGGAACCCGGAGGTCTGGTCCATCCTGCTGCCCAAGTGTGGCAGGGCAGAGGCAGGAGCAGTGAGGCAGGGCGGCCAGGAGGGGGCGTGCTAGGAGCAGGTGCTCCCCCACCCTCCAGCGCCCTGCTGAGACCCTGGCTGGACATGAACCGCAAGCCCAGGGACCATGGGGCTCGCATCCCCGCGGGCGGCTGGCGGCTCTGCGGCTCCCACTCCAGCGCGCAAGTGCGTCCGGCCGCCCAGGTTTCTCCACGCGTGAAGGGGCGGTGGGAGGGTCAGAGCGCCAGTGTCACGGAGCTGCTTTGAGAAGGGACCAAGAGCAGAGCACGCTCACACAGCTCCACGTCCAGCGCTCCGGGAGAAGCCGCTGGAGAAGATGGACACAGTCCTGTGGGGGCTCCGCACAGCGCCGGGAGCAGTCCCCCGGGGCGCAGAGCTGCGAACTGGCCTCTGTGGGGCAGAAGCACCCCGGACCCAGCCCGCTGAGTGAGGAGTCCAGGCATTCTAGGATCCTAAGGGCCCTGGGCCACACTTTGTCCCACAGGTGGTGACTTCTGGCAGAGCCTGGGCACCTTCATCCAGGCCCTCCCACCGGGCAGCCTCCAGCCTCACCGCCCAGGGACAGGGAGCCCGGCGTAGCGGTCCCCAACCTTGTGGGCAGTCCTTGGTCTGGGAAAGCCTTCGAGACTTCTGCTTGGGGCCAGCATATCAGCCCACCCCAGCCACTTCGTGTCCACCCTCCCGTGCTCCCGAGGGCAGCTGGCAGGCCTTGTGCTAACCCACCCGTCCCCTGGCACTGGTCCTCCTGACCCCATGGGGGCTCCCCAGGCTGGCCCCGAGTTCCCAGTGCACCCGGGCTCCAGGTCTCCTGGGGAGAGGGGCTGGGGGAAGAAGCGCTTGGGGAACGAGGATGCCGACCCCAGCTCTGGTAGTCAGAGGAGCAGCTGCTTAAGTGCCCGCTTGCCACACCCACATCCCACATAGGACCACCAGTTCCAGTCCTGGCTGCTCCGCTCCCAATCCCACTCCCTATCCCGCTCCCTGCTAATGCATCCGGGAGGCAGCTGGCCTGAGTGCTTGGGTCCCTGCCACCCACGTGGGAGACCCAGAGTCTCCATTTTGGCTCAGCCCAACCTCAGCTCTTGTGGACATTTAGGGAGTGAACCAGCTCTCTCTCTCAAATTAAACCAAACCAACCCCCACCCCCACCCAGTGGCTTGCACTCCTAAGCCCTCTCCAGGGTCCAATGCACATTGCATGCTTGGGCCACATGCCCGGGCCCTCCCAGTCCAACTCGTTCTCATTCTGCAGCCTTGCTCTGTGTCATCTCCTCCTCCCCTAGGCTGGCCAGGCCGCCGCCCTGCTGCCATCTCTCACTCTCCACCCAGGACAGGCCACTGTGTCGGCTGCCCAGGAACACCAAGGCCTTCACTGGCGCCCAGCTGGCACCTCCAGCCCCCCGCCCCTGGGCAAGCGTGCTCAATCCTCTCCTCTCATTCCTGTATTGCTTCTTGCCCGCTGCCCGCTGGGAAGAGAGGATGCTGGGCCCCTCTAGTGCCAGTGTCCTCCAGGGAGCCTGAGTGAGCCACCAGGGAGTGCGGCCAAGGCAGAGCAGCCGTGGCTCCCCGTGTTCTGTCTCTCTGGTTACCGAGTCAACGTTGTCTGACTCGGGGTGCCCACAGGAAGCACTGCGTGTGTCCGGCAGGGTGTTTAGGAGAATGGTGTTTGAACCTGTGGATTTCCTTACATTGCTCTGTCCAGTGAGGGGTGGGGAGCACTTTGGAATACACTGAGGGCCTGAAAAGGGGGGAGGAGGAAGGCAGAACCCGTCCCCTTCTCTCCTGGGAGCGGGGGCTGGGGCCTCTCCACAGTCAATCCTCTCAGGAACCCTCCTTTTTGCAAGCATTTATTTCTTCCCTTGCATTTTATTTGGAAGAGAGACGAAAGGAAAGCTTCCATTCACTGGTTCACTCCCCGAAGTGGCTGCGACAGCCAGGGCTGGGCCAGGCTGAAGCCAGGAGCCAGGAGCTCCACCTGTCTCCCATGTGGATAGGAGGGACCCAAGTACTTGGCCGTCACCTGCTGCTGTCCCAGGTCATTAGCAGGGAGCTTCATAGGAAAAGGACCGGGACCTGAACGAGGCACTCAGAGGAGATGCAGGCATGCCAAGCAGTGGGTTAAGGGCTGCTCCAGTCATAACTTAATTCTGACTTATTTTGCTAACTTACTGACATCTCACTTTGTTGGATTCTGTTTCTCCTTCTAGTTCCTCACTATTTCTAGATAGCTTTTGTTCTGCACTGATTTATTTTCAAAATTTTTATTTATTTATTTGAGAGGCAGAGAGGAAAAGGCCTTCCATCGGCTGGTTCACTCCCCCCGAATGCCCACAGTGGCTGAGGCTGGGCCAGGCCAAAGCTGGGAGCCAGGAACTCCATCCTGGTCTCCCACGTGGATGGCAGGGGCCCAGGGTGGAGCATCAAACTCCGGCACTCAGACATGGGTGGCAGGCAAACGCCAGCCCCTGGTTCTGTATGTACCTGCTCCCCTCCCGGAATCAGCGTGGCACCTGCTGCTTTGATAGATTCGCTTCTGTCTCCGCTAATACTGCCAAGTCCAAGGTAGGAAGGTTGACTGTGGTGGGTGCCAAGGAGACCCCCCTCCCGCCTGGCAAGAAGGCCAGGTGACCTGTTCCTCGCAGGAGGCTGCTGCAGCGAGTCTGCCCACAACTCCTACGCCTGCGTTTCCTCTCTGGTCTGGCTGAAGCCCAGACACTCAGAGCTCTTGTGCCTCCTTCCTCCAGCCGCAAAGGAAGTGAGGTCAGTCTCCTGCTCCCAGGTGCCGCAGACCGAGGGAGGGTCTCACCAGCGTCTTCCACATCCTCTTTCTGGTTTTTTTCAAGCAGGCACGGTGCACCGCTAAGACATTCTCAACCCCAGCCAGTGTCCGGACAGGTCCGTGGGCTGGATGTCCCTTCTGAGAATCACAGCTTTCTGGGAAAGAGCTTTTTGCTGTTTCTCCTCCTTCCTGCTAGGACTCCCGCACCCTCTCATTTCATCTTCACGTCTGGGAGGCAGAGCAGGCATTTACCAGACAAGGACATGGAGGTTGAGACTGAACTGACTTCCTTGAGGTTGCAGGGCTCGGACAGCTCCTACCTGAAACCTGAACTGGCCCACTCCCTCCACGGAGACTGACTTGCCTTGAGTTGTTGCCGTTTTAAGATTTGCTTCATTTATTTATTTGAAAGGCAGAGTAACAGGGGAGAGGGAGAGATCGAGGTCTCCCACTGCTGGTTCACTCCCGAAATGCCAACAACAGCCAGGGCTGGGCCATGCTGAAGCCAGGAGCCTAGAATTCCATCCGAGGTCTCCCAGTGGGGGGCAGGGACCCAAGCACTGGAGTCGGCCTCTGCAGCCTCGCAGGTGCACTAGCAGGGAGCTAGATTGGAAGCGGAGGCAGGACTTGATCCCAGACAGGGGGTGTGGGAGTCCCAGTGGCAGCTTCACTCCCCTCGCCCCACACAGCGGTGCCAGCCCCTTGCCTTCAGTTTTCCTCTTTCACCAGGCTGCCAGGAAGCTCAGAGCCTCAGGTGCAGCTCCGTCATGCAGGGCATTAACCCTTCCCGTCCTGGCCCTGGTGCTCCCTGCGTGTCAGAGGGCTGGGAGAGCCGGCCTTTCTTGCAAGCCACAGGAGGAAGGGAGCTGGGGCACTGCATATCTGCCAGGTGTCTTCATCAGCTTCCCCACGTCCTCTTCACTCTGCCCTGGGCAGCGGACGACCCGGATGGATGACAATGGGCTCTCTGGTTTCTGCTTGGGTGTGGCCGACAGGGGGCAGCACAGGGAGGACGGTGGGGTCTCAGCCTTCCCGTGTGGGGACGACTCTGCAGAGCTCCCAGCCTGCCCGCCTGCAAGGAGCAGCCCAGCCACTGTCCTCCCCTTGCTTTCCCTGCACCTGCTCACGGCTCTGCAAACCGTGCCTTGACCAATGTCTCAAATTTCCTAGCTTTGAGTATTTCCAGTCACGGCTCTGGACAGAGTACAGAAGTGCGTGGTTAAAAGGCCGTCTGCTCTGGAAACTCGGTCCTCTATCCCCTCCCACAGCCTCAGCAGGCAGCGCTCAGGGGACCTTAGGCCACCTCCTAATCGGGTGCTCTGGCCCCAGACTGGGCAGGTGGGGCCAGCAGGGGCACAGGTGCCTCTTGTTCTCAGGTTTGCCAGGAGCACTGTGAGTGGCCATCATGTAAGCCGAGAGCCTGACTGACATGATGAGGGAGGTCAGCCGAGCACCAGCGGGGCGTGGCCAGGAAAGCAGGGGCCACAGAGCAAGTGCTTCCGGGTCAGGTCTGAGCTGGGTCCGGTGGGGTGGATGAAGCAGGCACAGCGATCGGTGCTGGCTGTCCCTGGGATGGCGGAGGACAGAGTGGGCAGTGGGGGATCAGAGGGGAAGTGGGCAGGACCCGGGGTGGGTCCACTGCAGACCCACAAGGGGCTTGGACAGCATGCCACAGACCACAGCGGGTGGAGGGGCAGGGAGCCCCATGCCTCCCCAACCATGCCCCTTGATGGCCCATCGTATCTGTGTTACTTTTATTTTCTTTGCTTTGGTCTATACAAAAAACCAATAACCAAAAACATAAAGCGATGATAATAAAACTCTCCACTGGGACTCCCGCAGCCCCCCCACCCATGTGCAGGGGGTGGGTGGAGCCAGAAGCAAGAAGAGAAGAGAAAGCCCCTCACTACACACCGCAGGGGGCAGCTGTGTGCGGGGGAGTGCGCAGGAGCTGTCCCCCAAACACCCAGGGTGGGCCAGAGCTAGCCCCGCCCGCTGGAGAGGCACGGCAGGGTTCCCATGCCCCGTCTCCGTCCCCTCACCCCCGCACTTTTCATGAGAAGCTTTGGATTTCGGGATCTGGGGCCTTGGATGCTCAGTGGGGTTCAGTGAGAAAAACCAGGCCCAGAGAAGGAACCGAAGCCCGGAGGCCGGGACTCGGGCAGCGGGAGACAGGTGGGCCAGGGGCTGCTGGGGGTACCGAGCGGGCGGCTTGCGTGTAAAGCTTCAGTGGCCAGGGCCCAGGACAGCAAAGCGAGAGGACACCATCCCAAGAAAGACCCCGCGGAGGAACTCCGGCGGCCCGGGCGCAGCAGCAAGGCGCAGCCCCGGCTCCCCGCTCAGGCACTTCTGTCTCCCCCATCGCCCGCACGGGGGCCTCTCGGATGAGGAGCCGCACCTGGGGGGAGGCAGACACAGTGGGTCAGGCGGCCTGGCAGACCTGTGACCCCAGAAACTCACACCACTCCCGTGTCACCTGCCCACCGCCCCCTCCCCCAGAAGGGCCTGGGGTCTCCCCTGGAACAACAGGCTGGGAGGCATGGAACACCCCTCACCCCACTCCCATTCCCCCCACAGGAGCCAGGGTTTCAGCAAAAGGTGGAGACGGGGCAAGGCAGGTGCCATGGTGGCCGGGAGGGCGGGGCCGTACCGGGGCGGGGGCGGCTAGGCGAGCATGTGGTCGGCGGTGGGGTAGGGAGGCCTGAGGCCATCGCTGTAGGTGTCGATGGGGTAGTCGCCGTCCATGTCCATGTGCATCTCCAGCGGGTCGAGGGGCACATCACTCGAGTACATGGGGCGGTAGGTGGCGTCCATGTCTGGGGACGAGAAGGGGGCTCCCTGTGGGGGTCTGCAGGCCACCTCCTGTGCCCCTGCCCACGGCCAGGGGCCTGACCTCACCCGACTCCCACGCCAGGGAATCAAGGCTGGAGCACACGTGGACTGCCACAGACACGGGCTGTCCCAGGCCCTGGGGAGGCCACTTGTACTTACCATCCGCATAGGGCTCGTTCACGGGGATCATGCTCTGCGCCTGCGCAAGGAGAGGGGAGGGGCGGCGCTAAGGACTCACACCTGGGCAGCCCTCAGTTGGGGGAGGGGAGCGAGGCCCCCTTGGAGGAACACGGGATGGTGGGGGCGGAGACCTCACACCTACACAGCACCTCGGCTTTCTGCCTGCCACCCCAAACACTTGCTCTTCCTTTGGGCAGAATGAAACGGCCACTTTGGTGGGTCAGAACAGATCTGGGGGGCCGGTGGTGTGGCGCAATGGGTTAAGCCACCGCCTGCAGCGCTTGCATCCCCTGTGGGCACTGGTTCAGTCCCTGCTAACACGCCTGGGAAGGCAGTGGAGGATGGTCCAAGTGCTTGGGTTTCTGTTGGAGACCCGGATGGAGTTCCAGACTCCTGGCCATTGTGGCCACTTGGAGAGTGAACCAGTGGATGGACACTGCCTTTCAAATGAATAAATAAATCTTTAAAAAAATAGTAAAGATATATATGGTTCAACCTAATTCCATGTGCTAGGAACTGCCATAAATGATCCAATTATAAAATTAACAATATGACGCTGACAGCATGCTAGGAGCCCTAAAATGTCGCCTTGCACCACCACGCACTGCAGTTCAACGCAGGGTACTCACAGCCTCCCAGGCCGCCGGGTCGTGCTTGAAGAGTGAGTTGGTGAGCTCCACGGACACGCGCTTCCGGTAATCTGGGTTCTTGTCCTCAGAGATGCGGAACAGGACAGCGGCGGCGTAGGTGGCTGAGTGGACAGGCAGGGACAGGCTGGGTCAGATTCGGGCCTCCACCCAGCCTGCTCCCCTCTGCCCCGCACAGCCCCTCACCAGTGCCCTCGTTGCGGGAGTGCAGCAGCTCCATGAGCGGGGCAGAGGCGCCCTCGGCGTCAATGGCGTCGGCGGCCTCCTTGTCCTGGGCCAGCTCGCACAGCACGCCTGCAGCCACACGCTGAATGTTCTCCACCGACGAGTACAGCAGCTGCAGAGAGCGCGCGGGGCGTGGTGGTGTGAGGCAGGCGGGCAGACAGCCCGCAGGCCCGCACGGCCCTTTTCCACGTTCAGCCCAAGCTCATCCAGAAAAAGGGCAGAGAGCCCCGGAAATAAACAAACCAAACCACCACCCCCCACCCCTAACAGCTTGGCGCACTGCCAGGTCTGGCTCCCATCCCAATTAGCATACAGTCGATACAATACTGAGTCCTGCTTTTTTGCATCTGACATTGTAGCATAAAGCACCTCCTCATATATTATTTAAGTTTTTCCTAGGGGGCAGGCACTGCGGAGCAGTGGTGTTAAGCCGCCACCACACCCCATATAGGAACGCTGGCTTTGAGTCCCAGCTGCTCTGCTTCCAACACAGCTCCCTGCTAATGCTCCTGGGAAAGCAGCAGAGGATGGCTCAAATGCTTGCGCCCTGGTCACTCACGTGGGAGACCCCAATGGAGTTCCTAGCTCCTGGCCCAGCCCTAGCCAGTGGAGCCATCTGGGGAATGAACCAGTGTTTAGAAGATCTATTTGTCTCTCTGTCTCCTTCTATCTGTGTCCCTCTGCCTTTCGAATAAATAAAATCTTAAAAGATTGAAAACACTCAACTGCTCACCACTGAAGGCAGCAGCTACAGTCCTGCCCTTGACTCTGAAAATGAATGAAAAACAAAAGCATCCCAAGGAGTACTTCCTGTGCAGCATCCGGAGGCGGCCACAGGGTAGAAGGACCATGCCCTGATCTTGCCCTGCGGTACCACGGCAGCTGCAGTCGCCACCCCTGAGTCCTGCCCATCTTTTCGATGATGGTAAAGTATTTCCCAAGAAGAGGGTCCCACGCAGACCGCACAGGGCTCCCTGCACAGCACCGCACAGCTGCCTGCGCGGCTTCAGCAGCATCTGGGGCCGCTGTGTCACCTCATCTCACCAGCACAGGGCACTCCCAGTTGTTTTTTCCTTTGCCAATTTGATAATGGAAAAAATATATATATATGTATATATATATATATATATATAAAGAGGGCGGGGCTGTCACTGGGGTGTGTTTGATTTCTTTAAGCTCCTGGGGCTGAGCCTCCCGGGGCCCGCTCGCCACCTCTGCTGTGCAGCCCGCTCACTTCCCCAGCTGGCTGTCTACTCGGTAAGCTCTTTAGGTGGCTTCCGCACCAACACCGGGTGGCTTTATGCGCATGTGTGAGTATCAAGACTTCTTTTCTCAGCCTCTTTCAGGTTCTCGCTTCCAAGATGACAGAAAACAGGCACAGCCGTGCCAGAAAGGGCCCCATTCGCTGCAGCAGCTGCACGCAATGCACGCAAGGCCATGAGGAAGGGGCACGGCGGAGCGGCCAGCGTTGTGGCACAGTGAGTTAAGCCGGCCTCCCCTATGGGCGCCGGTTCGAGTTCCGGCTGCTCCACTTCCGATCCATCTCCCTGCTGATGTGCCCGGGAGGCCCAGGTGGTCCCAGCGCCCATGAGGTCCCTGCACCCACATGGAAGGCCAGGAGGGAGTTCTGGCTTTGGCCTGGCACAGCCCTGGACATTGAGGCCATTTGGGTAGTGAACCAGCATTTCCTCATTGCTCCTCTCCTCTCTCTCTCTCTCACTGTAATTCTGCCTTAAAAATAAATAAATAAAAAACAAAACAGAGCAGAGGCCACAGCCCTCAGGGACGGGACATCGCCAAGGTGAGGACGCTCGAGGCCTCTGCGATCCGAGCCGCAGGGCAGCGGCCTCACCACACCAGCCGCGCCATTCACAGCAAGGCGGTCAGAAGTGGATCTCACGACGCCTGCACAGACCAGCACCACCTCCTGATGTGGCCCCTGTGGGCACTGCCCCTCCACCTGTCCCCAAAGCACAGGTAAGGAGCCTGGCCTCTGGACTGAATAAAAAACGTAACGCGGAAACAAGTGCTTTTCTTTAAAAAGAGCTCTTTGTTCATTCATGAACTCTTCCGGTCTGGGCTGGCTGCCTTCCTCCAATTGCTCAAAACACGTCTTTAGGCCCAGCACCAGGCCCCTCCAAACCCATGACTCTACCGCCCACCTGCCCCAGGCTCACCTGCACAAACAGGGGGATGGTGTTGAGTCGGAAGATCTCCATGCGGTTCATGGGGTCCCGGGCGAGGATGTGCAGGGCTCCCGTGCAGCCCTCCACGATCTCCTCCATCCTCACGCCGTCCTGTGCAACAGGGGCCATGGGGCATGGGGCACGGGGCCAGGTGGCCCTGGCTCATGGCCAGGATACCCGACAGACTTCAGCTGTTTTCCACACACCCACACACGTGTGCACACAGGGGACACCCAGACCCCAGGCAGGGCTCACTTACCGTGTAGGGCTGCTGTGTGCCGGCAGCCACATGGCGCTGGGCATCCTGGTGGGCCTTGACCAGCAGCTGGACAAGGCGGGGAATGACGGCAGCCTCCTGCAGCGGGGCATGGTTGGCTGGGCACAGCGCCAGGTTCCTGATCAGCCCGATGGTTGCCTGGGAGGGAAGGGGCGGCTGTCAGGGGCATTTCCTGGGCATCTGGAGGTGCCCAGTTTACAGCTGCAGGGGTCTCCTCCCTGCCCAGCACCCTCTCTGTCCCCAGCCCAGGCACAGATAGGCTGGAAGACTCCAGGACCCGGCCTGAGTAGGACTCACGGGGCCTCATGCCTCACTCTCATAGCCTCTGCTCAAAGGATACCCCATTCCAGAACATTCTGTCAGTCCCTCTTACCCCACCCACAGACACCATGGCCTCTCTCACTTTCTCACAGTGCCCAGACCCTGATCCAGCTATGGCTGGCCCCAGAGCCTCCTGCCAAGGGACCCCAACACGGTAACCAATGCCCAGCTGGGGAGGAGGCCCAGCGACCCTGACTTCCAGGAGCCACTCCGGCCTCCACAGCCCCTCAGGGTCTGGCAAAGCCACTGTCCCCTCACTCGACCCTCAGAACAAGCAAGCAGCAGGCAGAGCTGACGGGTGCAGGGCAGGCAGGAGCGCTGGCGGGTGCCCTGCTGGAGCGTCCTGGCCCTGTGCAGCAGGCACCGCATGCCAGGGTGGGGACAGGCCCTGCCATCGTTTTCTGACTTCGGGTTATTTTACCCAATGTACATAAAATCACTCAAGTCAGCCTTCTCTGTCCTGGAGCCCCGGTCTGGGGCAGCCTCCTCACTCTGGCACTGGTGTCACCCTGCCTCCTGTGTCTACCCAGAGCTGCACACATCAACCTTCCCCGGTGACTCTGTCCGAGCCTGCCCACTGCCCGGCCACCCTCACTCACCTCCCTGCTCAACGGGGACTGAGCCGCATCTTTCCCCACCAGGCAGCTCCGGAGAAGGCTCTAGCCCCCACCTGGACAGCATCTCCCAGAATCCTCTCTGCCCCTTTTCAGTTCCCCTCCTGAGTATTAGCAATGCCCCGGCCGGCAAGCATGCTTCCCAACACCTTCGCATCTCAGTGAGGCCAAGGGACCAGATTCCGGGGTGGACGGGAGTGACGCAGCCCATGCTCTGGCGGCCAGGGGCCCTCCCCACTGCCTCAGTGCCTTAGCACACCCGTGAGTATGATGCTGTCTGACTGACCCTCCCCAAGAGGGTCACCCTCCCCACCTGTACCCTCTGGCCACACTTGGAGGGTGGCAGACTGTTCTGGAATGAGATATCCTTTTATCCTTTTTAGGGACTGCTAGGGTTAGACATGAGGATCCCATGGGCTCCACAGAATAAGGAACACAGGCTCCGTGGGCCAGCAGCAAAACTGCGGATGCTCAGGCCCGCCGTGGGCGGCCCCACAGTCTCCCGAGCTGGCCCAGGGCTTCTCCTGTGTGAGTGGAGATGCTCCGATCTGGGCATGGCAGTGCTATGGGGCAGGAAGAAGCTGAGTCACCACAGCAGAGCAGAGCCACTGTCCACGTGTGAGCTGCTGTGTCCAGGGCCACACTGTGCCAGCAGCTCTGCCCCGGCCCCCCCAGGGCCTGCCCGCCCGGCCCACAGGGTAGCAGCAGACAGCGGCGGCTAGGGGTCAGGGGCCAGCACCTTGACCAGCGGCCACTGGTTGGGCTGGTTGAGCAGCTTGACGATGGCCGGGATGCCGTAGTTGAGGCGCACGGAGTTCTGGGCCATCTCGGCCTCGGGGTGGCGGCTGGTGAGGTGGCGCAGGGCGCAGACGGCCGGCTCGGTGATGTCATCCTTGTCGCCGGCACGCAGGATGGCGTGGATGAGCGCCTCCACGCCGCTGTTCTGCGTCACCAGCGTCTTGTTCTTGCTGTTGTTGCAGGTCAGGTTGGAGAGCGTGCCCGTGGCACAGGTGAGCACGTTGACGTCGTCCACGCTCAGCTGGTTGACCAAGATCTTCAGCACACTCTCCAGGCCCTCCTGGGTGCGGGCAGAAAGGGTGGTGAGCAGGCTGCCCACTCGGGTGTTTTCCCCACCAAAGCCCTGCCCTGGGTATGCCTGGAACTTTACACCCCGATGACCTGCGGACAGCCTGTGCGAGGCCACTACCAGCCCTGGGAGCCAGTGAGGCCGCAGGGCTCAGAGTTTGGGGAGGGGGGTGGCTTGCAGATTCACAGCTAGGCTGGGCCTGAACCTACACCTGTCACTAAGCGTCACTCCACCAGGCCTCCTTCCCATAGGACCCCCAGCCAAATCTGCTTCCAGGACAGTGCCCTGACCCAGGGGCCTACTTCCCTCAGGGCCAGCCTTGTGGTAAGACAGACAGGGCTGGTTTCCAGTCCCGGCTCTGTCATTGCCGCTCTTGGGAGTGGCGGTCCCACTGGGAGGCGGGACCAGAGGGCTTGTCCCGAAGCCGCATTTTCCCCGGGGTGCAGCAGGTGAAGCTGCCCTTGGGATGCCGCCATCCCTCATCAGAGTGCCGGCTTGGGCCTAGGCTGCTCTGTGCTTCTAACTCAGCTCCCTGCTAATGCGCCCGGGAGGTAGCACACGACGTCCCAGGTACTTGAGCACCTGCAACCCACGTGGGACCCTGATGGAGTTCCTGGCTCCTGGCCTTGAGCTGGCCTAGTTTTGGCTGTTGTGCGCATGTGAGGAATATAACAGCGATGGAAAATCTCTCTCAGTCTTACTGCCTTTCAAGTAAGTAAATAAGTCTGGTGATGATGATGATGACGATGAGGAGGAGGAGGAGGAGGAGGAGGGGGAGGATGTTGTTTTCAGCCCCTGGGGCCCATGCTGCCCAGGTGAGAACCAGTCCTTTGCCTCTGCCCAAACCCTAGCTTAAAGCCTTCAACCCCACCCACTTCCTCCCCGAGTCACTAAAGGGATGAGGGTCTTCAGGGCATCTGTAGCCTCAACCTCAATCAGGAGAAGCCTCCGCCCTCCCCTGGCACCTAAGGTCTGAGGCTGGAGCTGGCGGCTAAGAGGGGGCCCCGCGCCTGGACGCCTGCCTCACCTGCTTGGTGGCCACGTCTGAGAGGTTGCGCAGGGTCCACAGGCAGTTCTGCACCAGGCGGGGGCTGTTGCTGGTCAGGTGCTTGCCCAGGGCCTGCATCCCACCTGGGGTGGGGGGACAGCAGTGTCATCAGCCGCGGGGTGGGGGGCAGGGCTGGGAGAGCCCCCTCCCCCCAGCCCCGGCCACACACTCACCAGCCTCCACAATGGCAGGCTTGTTGCTGGGACACACGGACAGCACCTTGAGCACGCGGCTGGTGGTCCAGAGCAGCTTCTCGTAGCTATAGTTGCGCATGATCTGCACAAGGGCCTGGGGGCCCCCGTTGGCCAGGATGATCAGCTGTGAGAGGAAGAGGGAGGATGAGTGTGAGGCAACGAGGAAGGAGAAGGGGCCGGAGGTGCCACAGCTGTCCTTACCAAGCTGCAGCGAAAACCCAAGCAGCTGGAGGGAAAGAGGGGTAACACCCAAGGCTGGCGAGGATGTGGCAGAACGGGGCTCACACCCCTGGCCACTGAGGGCACTAGAAACGGGTCCAGTCCTGCAAAGCAGCCATCTGGCCTTCTGGGTACAGAAGTGTTAAAAACCTTCAGTGCCACGGATGAAAACTCCTTCTACTCTCTGGGGAAGGCTGAGTGCATGGAGATGTTCGTTACAGCGTTGTTTACAAAGCTGGGACTCCAGGAGCACTGCCCGTGTCCTCCCTCAGCACGAAGCCCAGGGCCTCCACTTAATGACAAGCTGGCTGACATGACTGCCGTTGGTTGTGAGGACCAGAGGGGGGTGGGGAAAGGCTTTAAAAGCACCAAGTAGATGGGGCCCGCACCGTGGTGCAGCCAGGAAACCTGCTGCCTGCGACACCGGCATCCCACATGAGCTCCAGGTCAGATCCTGGCTGCTCCCCTCCCCATCCAGCTCCCTGCTAACGCACCTGGGAAAGCAGCAGCAGATGGCCCAAGTGCTTGGCCCTCCGAACTCACGTAAAAGACCCAGATGGAGTCCTGGCTCCTGGCTTTGGCCTAGCACTGACCACTGTGGCCACTCAGGGAGTAAATCAGCAGATGGAAGATCTCTGTATCTCTCCCTCTGTCTCTGTAATTCTACCTTTCAAATATATAAATAGGGGCCAGCGCTGTGGCGTAGTGGGTAAAGCCTCCGCCTGCAGTGCTGGCATCCCACATGGGTGCCAGTTCGAGTCTCAGCTGCTCCTCTTCCAATCCCGCTCTCTGCTATGGCCTGGGAGGGCAGTGGAGGATGGCCCAAGTCCTTGGGCCCCTGCACCCACGTGGGAGACGGGGAGGAAGCTCCTGGCTCCTGGCTTTGGATTGGCGCAGCTCCGGCCGTTGCGGCCAACTGGGGAGTGAGCCAGCAGGTGGAAGACCTCTCTCTCGCTCTCTCTCCTTCTCTCTCTGTGTAACTCTGACTTTCAAATATATAAAATCTTTAAATATATATATAAATACCCTTTTAAAAAAGTCATAATTTTGACCAATTCTGACACAGCGCGTTTTTCTGCATGTGCTCCTCCACTTCACACCAAAGCAGTCATCAGGGCTGGGAAGGTTTTTCCTGCCAACGGCCATTTGGAGATTTACGACGTCATCCGCGGGCCATACAAAATGATCAACTTAAAAATTAACCTGCTGTGGAGTTACTGAATCTCTAGTCCCGCCCACGATTGCCTTGGCAGGGCCAGAGCCAATGACCCTGGCGGCCTCCGACAGCCCGCGGGCCGGACGTCCCCCAGCCCCGGAGGGAGGGGAGCGCAGCCCGGGCCGTGGCAGCAGGAAAGTGATCCGAGGGTGGGCCGCAGGCCACAGGGGAGGCGCACCTTGCTCTCCTGGTTGCCATAGGCCAGGAGCTGCAGGCAGTCGGTGGTGATGGCCAGGAACTTGGGGTTGTTCTTGTTGAGCAGGGGAACCATCTTCTGCAGCCCGTCCGCCAGGCGCACCGCCATCTTGGCGCCCTCTTGGTACAGCAGCAGGTTGTGCAGGGTGGTGATGGCGTAGAACAGGACCGACTCCACGGGGGAGCTGCAGGGTGGGGGGGGGGGAGCAGGAGACAGATCCTGGGGGCTGGAATGAGTTCCGCCTCCCCGGGGAGCGCTGTGTCCACACCGACCCTGACTTCGTGCAAATGGCCCTTTGCCTGTCGTTCCCTGCCCTGCACTTCTGCACGCAGCACCTCTCCTGCCCCAGCGGACGGCGGCTCCTGCTCCTCAGCTCCCAGCCTGGCGCTCAGCACACAGAAGGCCCCCTCAACGTCGTTCCTGATTGAGTAACTACTGTGTGGAAGGCCACAGGGTAGGCAGGCCCTGAGCGGGGTTCAGCAGGGAACAGAATCAACGTCTCTACCTTTGGGGCCCTCCTGGCCTGGCACAGAGGGATGAAGAAGCAGGCCAGGAAAATGAGTACCAGGCCAGGAAAGAGAAGGGCTGCAGGACAGGTGCTGTGGTGCAGAAGGTTAAGCTGCTGCTTCGGGCACCAGCGTCCCATATTAGAGTGTCGGTTTGAGTCCCCCAGCTCTGCTTCCAACCCCAGCGTCCTGCTAATGCACACCCTGGAAGGCAGCAGGTGGAGGCTGAAGTACTTGTCCCTGCTGCCCACACGGGAGACCGGGATGGAGTTCTGGGCTCCCAACTTCGGCCTGGCCCAACTCTGGCTGTTGTGGGCATTTGGGGAGAGAACCAGCAGATGGAAAAGCTCATTCTCTCTGTTGCTTTGCACATGCTGCTCTTCGTCCCTGGAATCCTCTCCCCCTTGACCTTCACGGGCCAAACTCTATTCACCTGTCAACTCAGGCTGCTAGAGTGACTCCACCTCCCAGCTGCCTCAGCAGGCACCTACGTGGTATTCTCAGCACCAGCCCGCAGTTCACCTGCCTGTGAGGCCAAGCCAGGCCACCTTCTGCACCCGGCACGTAGCCTGCTTAGAGAAGCCGTGAGCAAGGGGGCGGAGCCCGGGGCGGGGCGCTGGGTACCTGAGCATGCGCACCAGGGCAGGGATGCCGCCCGACTTGAAGATGGCGAGCAGCCCCTCGCGGTGGTGGGAGAGGTTGTGCAGGATGCTGGTGGTGCAGCGCGCCGTGTCCAGGTCACTGGTGTTCTGCATGGTGCGCACCACGGCCGCCACCAGCTGGGGCGAGCCCATGAGGGCCCGGCGCGACGCCTCCTTCTTCGACAGCTGGTTCACAATCATGGCCGCCTTGGTCACCACCACCTGGAGGGCGGGAGGCTATGAGCAGATGGGCCAGAGACCCTTCCCGGAAGCTCAGAGGGACGCATGTCAGACCCCCCCCTCCCTGGAGACACCCCACCCCCACCGACCGGGTCCTCATCGTTGAGCAGTTTGGTGAGCTCCGGCAGGGCCCGGGTGGCCAATTCAGCGTCGTCCTGGTAGTTGATAAGGTGCACGATGGCCGACTTGAGCAGCTGGGATGGCTCAGCCAGCCGCTGCAGGTTGGTGGTCTGGCCCTCCACCTGCGTGGCCAGCAGCAGCGAGCTGTCCTCAGCGGTCACTCCGGGACACATGGCCTCCCGCACCCGCTTGGCTCTGGCTGTGGTGGACATCTGGTACTCCAGGTCACCTGGGGGCCAACAGGGCAGGAGCTGAGCTGCAGGAGGCAAGGAACTGGGGCGGAGGAGCATCGGAGCATAGTGCAGGCCACGCAGACAGCACCTACCCGCCACCCTGCCCTGACCAAGCCCCAGCACCCACTCGCGGTTCTACCTCTGCTGGTGCCAGTCAGCTCAGTTACCTGTTCTGTCACATGGGACCCCACCTGCTGGGCCCATCCCAGTATTTTTTTTTTCTTTTTTAAGATTTATTTATTTATTTGAAAGGCAGAGTGAGGCAGAGGCAGAGGCAGAGTCAGAGAGGGAGCTCTTCCATCTTTTGGTTCACTCCCCAAATGGCCACAATGGCCGGAGCTGAGCTGATTTGAAGCCAGGAGCCAGGAGCTTCTTCCAGGTCTCCCACATGGATGGAGGGGCCCAGACACTTGGGCCATCTTCTGCTTTCCCAGGCACATTAGCAGGGAGCTAGATCGCAAGTGGAGCAGCCAGGACTCAAACCGGCGTCCATATGAGATGCTGGCACTGCAGCCAGCGGCTTTACTGTCTGTGCAACAGCACCGGCCCCAGAATTCTAACAATTCAATGAGATCCTGTCAGCCATAACTGTCAGCCCTCCAGATCCAGGAATCCAGCCAACCACAGGTCAAAAGCATTTGAAAAAGAATCATGTCTGTCCTGAACGTGGACTTTTTTTTTGTTCCTTGTCATGATTCTCTGCACAGCACGGGGCAGAGCCATCTAGCGGGGACTTAAGGTGCAGGGGAGGGTGTGCAGAGCTTACGTACAAATACTGCGCGAGGCTCTGCATGGGACTTGCGCACTGGCCAACTTTGGTATCCACGAGGGTCCTGGGCCAGCCGCCCTTTGATATGAGGCACATCTGTACCGTTCGTCTTCCCACTTCACAGATGGGAAAACAGCACAGAGAGGCAGCAAGGCCTGACAGGGAGCACAAGGCCCTACCTCCCTCTGCCCCCTTAACCACCAGCGCTGTGGTGCAGCGGGTTAACACCCTGGCCTGAAGCACTGGCATACCATTTGGGCATCAGTTCTAGTCCCAGCTGCTCCTCTTCTGATCCAGCTCTCTGCTATGGCCTGGGAAAGCAGTAGAAGATGGCCCAAGTCCTTGGGCCCCTGCACCCATATGGGAGACCCGGAAGAAGCTCCTGGCTCCTGGCTTTGGATCGGCTCAGCTCCAGCCGCTGCAGCCATTTGGCGAGTGAAACAGCAGATGGAAGACCTCTCTCTGTCTCTACTTTCTCTGTAACTCTTTCAAATAAATAAAATAAATCTTAAAAAAACAAACAAACAAAAAAAACACCAGGCAGGGGAAGGGATGAGACAGTCCAGGTTGCTTTTCGACCCTGAAACTTCGACCTTGTACTTCTAATTACACCCTCATCACTCCTGATGGCAGCGAGGCTCCCACCAGGCAGCCGGGGGCCCCCGAGAGCCACCGGCGGCACTCAGCAGCGGGCAGAGGGAGCCAGGGTGCTGGGAGGGCCCAGGAGTCCCACAGAAGTGCCCAGTGCACCCGGGGAGGGAGGCCGGGGCTCTGCACTGATTCGCTGGGAAGGAGGCGCCGTCTCCCCAGCTTTCCCGCTGGGCTGCTCTGCTGTCCGCTGCCAACACAGGGTCTGGGGCTGCTGAGCCCAGCGGCCTCTGCCTGTGGTCAGGATGCAGCCAGCCACGGACCCCACGGTCCTGAACGGTGGGTGACAGTCCCTGTGCCCAGCGACTCCTCTCCCCCAGGGGAGCCTGACCATGCCCCTGGCCATGGGGCAGGTGGGCTCTGCCCGTCGGTCTCCTTCCCTCAACAGGAGTCCCAGCCCTAGGGACCAACTGCGCTGCCTCCACCAGACTAAGGGCTCCCCAGAGCTGCAGCCCTGCCTCTCCCATCAAACCCAGGGCTCCTGGAGCAACAGGAAGTATCTCCCCTCCTCCATCCACGGGCTCCCAGAGGGCAGTGGGCGTGCCTCCCATCATGCCCTGAGGTTCAAAGAGGGTGAGGACTGAGCCTCCTCCTTCAGACTGGTGACCTTCCGAGGGCAGGGCTCAGAAAAGAGTGTGTGTGTTTCTCCCAGATGGGGCGCCCTTAGTGTGCCTCCTCCCTCTGACTAGGTGGGCCCCTATGAGCAGGAGCTGTACCTCCACGCCCAGACTACACAGGTGCCCAGAGAGGAGCCCCCTCCAACCTCCCTCTGTTGACTCGGCCCGCCCACCAGGGCCCGTGCCAGCCCCCAGGGCTCCCGACCTTGGCTCTGGGGCCCAGCCTGGGTGTAGGTGGTTGACTTCTTGACGGTGTACTGGCGCCCGCAGGCCTCCTCCTCCTCCATGATGCCCTTGCTGCTGACGGAGGGCACACAGGTGTTGGCGCCCGAGTGGATGCCCGAGTCGTAGGTGTAGGTCTGCTGCCACTCGGTCACCTTGATCGGCTGCTCCATCAGGTTCATCACCTCCATGGTGGCTGCTGGGGCACAGATGAGGGCAGCCCGTGAGCTGGCCACCCAGCCCGTCTCCCCTCACCCCCACCATAGCCCCAGGGCTCTGGTGGGTCACAGGATGAGGCAGTGGGGAGAAGGGGGCAGAGAGCAACAGGGCACAGAGGGGCTTGCTGTGAGGAGACGCCTGGGGGACCTGTCGCGTGTGTGCCCCTGGCTTGCATCTCTGACCTCCGGCCCCGGGTGGGTGAACCAGGGAGTGGGCAGTACGGGGCCAGGCACTGGCCAAGCCTGGACTCCCTCACTTCGCTGCCCCAACCCACCCTCCTGGGAGCAGAAGGCACTCGGGCCTCCCCGGCTCCTCGTTTGGGCTCCCTGGGAAAGGCTGCGGAGGAGGCAAGGAGCGCACCCAGCACCCAGCACCCAGGCGCTGGAAGGAACACTGGGTGGGGCAGGAAGCAGTCAGACAGGTTTCTCCCGGGCGCCCCAGGCTCTCTCAGAGATTCCTGGATGTCACTTTCCTGCAGGTGGGGCAGGATCACGAGTGGTCCCAGCACCCCAGCCCCTGGGAGCTTCTCCCAGCACTGAGTGCCACAGACTGAGCCACCGACCCGACCCGACCACCAGGCAATTCTCAGCGCAGCCTCAGTGTCCCCCTCTGTGAAATGGGTCACACCGCCTCCTGGCACACAGGAGGGTGCTCAGGCCGTCACTCTCACCACCAGGAGCCCGGCCCTCCCTCAAAGACTCGGGGTCCCTTGAGGTTAATGAAGGCCAGGCCCTGCTGGGTGGCATGGAGGCAAACCTCCCACTGTCTTGGGAAGTGACCTGCCGAGGTCAGTGGCTGGGGGAAGGCACGAGAAGCTGGGACCCTGTGAGGATCTGCTCAGAGTCGGGCCCCCTGTGAATGTCACCATCCTCACAAGCCATTCTCAAAACACCATTCACAGATGTGGAAACTGAGGCTTGAAATGGCAGGGCCAGGCCCAGCCACAGGCTGAGTGGCCTTTGCACATTCCAGGGTGGTCTGCAGAGCAGGCAGACCCCAGGCTGGCCCACCCAGCAATGCTTGTCCACTGTGACAGGGAGACCATAGGGGGACAGGGCGAGGACAGGGGTGGGACGGGGAGGCTGGCGCAACCCGGCCGCACCCAGGAACAAAGAGCACAGGGGACAGGTCCTCCCAGTGACCGTCCCAGCGCCGCCCTCAAGGAGGACGACGAATGGCCCTCCAGGTCTGGCTGCCTTTTATGGCCACACGCACCCCTCCCCTGCTGGGAACACACCTGCAACAGGCAGAGGCAGGAGCCCCACCAGCCCCCAGCTGCCTCCTCCCCCCCCCCGCCCCCCTGAGTGACTCAGAGTTTCGGGCTGAAAACAGAAGCAGGCCCAGTGCACCATACGGCAGGCTTGGGCTGCCAGCTGCGTGCAGCTGCTGAGCCACTCCCCGAGCTCGGCTGTTCCACGAGGAGCCCTGACCGCCCCCCAACCACCGCCGCCGCCGCCAACAGCCCATCCTGGGCAGCAGACAAGGTCAAAGGCAGGAAATTGGGGGCTTGGAGAAGGTGGACGCAGGAAAATCCTGCCCAGGGCTCCTCCTGCCTTCCCATCCTGCCCAGGGCCGGGTGGATCCCAGGAGAGCGCAGAGGGCCTGGGAGGGGGGAGCTGTCACAGAAGCCACCCCAGGGCAGGCGGAAGGCAGCAAACTGGACAGCCTGGCTCTGCAGAAGGGAGGGGAAACCGGAGCAGTAAACACAGCGAGTTAACCCTCGCTGCGCTGCCGTCTGCTCCGCTTGGGCCTCTCTGGCCCCAGTGACAAGCACCCCGTCCTCACCGGACAGCACCTAACTCCGGGGCTTCTCAGCCGGGCCACGGAGAAGAGGGCTCACCCCACACCACGGGGACCAGCCCCAGCCCGGAAGGGACTCCCATGGCCAAGGCTGCCCACCATGAAGCCCCTCAGGCCCAGCAGCCAGGGGCCGCTGAGGTCTGGACAGCTGCCCCTGGTAAGAGGCAGAGGAGCAGTCGGAGGTCAGAGGTCAGAGGTCAGCACGGGTGAGCGCGGGGTCCGCCTGCCTTCATGGGCAAACGCAGAGCAGTGCCCGCGGTCTTTTTCCGATCTCCAGTTTCCACATGAGGAAAGCGAGGCTCCACACGGAGAAAAGGGGGCGCTCAGCTCCAATCCGGGGGCCTCACCATGGGACCAGCCCTCCGGCCAGAAGGCCCGGGGGCCGCAGAGGCCAGGGTGCCTACGAGGAAGAGCTCCTGGCCGTGAATTAAGAGCCCAGGTTCTGGTCCCTGCCCCACCACCGTAGTGCTGGGCGTCCCCGGTCAGCTTCTTTCCCTCGCTGGGCTTCATCTACAGGAAGGCTGGCTGGAGAGTTCCGAACGCACATGGGTGCCTAAGATTCCAGGAATAAGGAAGGAACCAGGATGCCCAGGACAGACAAGAGAAGGCAGGGGGCGGGCAAGGCCAGGACCGGAAGGCAGTTCGGAGGGGACACACGGCCCAAGTCTTCTGGAGGAGAGGGTCATGGGACAGCTGCACCTGCAGCAGGATGACTGCAAGGCAGACTTCAGGTAGGACTGTCAGTCAACCAGTCCCACCTTCTGCCTCACCTACTCCCAGAGAACCGGGAAAATCCTCCCACAAGAAACAGCAGTGCTGCTTTTACAAGGTCCAGGCCACACCCAGTCTGGTCTCATCCCTCTCCACCCTGGGCCTGGAGTCAGACCTTCCGCGACACCCCAGCAAGGGCTGGGGCGGAATGGGGTGGGAGAGACAGACAGGGGCCTTGCCCATGCATCCGGGCACGGGCGGGCGCAGATTCTGAGCTGAATGGGGGGCCTTTGTTTAGCAGGGAGCTCTATTGTTGGCAGCCTAGAGGAAGGAGGCTTCTCAGAGATCGCGGGTGGAGTGGGGCAGCACAAGGACAGGAGGAGAGATGCCCGGCCCAGGCCCGGGCCCCAGGGAAGGTCTGCGGGAGTGCGTGGAAGCTCAAGGGGGGCTCCCGCCCTGTGCTCCCGCTTCCTCCACCCTAGCCGGCCCTGGCAGAACACGGCCCAGGCCCGATGTTAAAAATAAACCCACGGGAGCCCCATCAGGCTCCCGCCCCCACCCGCACCTGGCAGGACCGTCAGTGTCGGCACAGCTGGTCTGGGCGGCAGGGCAGCAGGTGTCCATGGGACACCGGGATCGAGGGCGCCCAAGAGGCTGGGCCGGAACCTCCGGCCAGGGCTCCCCAGGGGTTCCTAGGCCCAGAGGCCAGTGGCCTGTGCAGAGCCAGATCCAGGCTCAGACAGAAGGGAGCCAGGAGCTGGGGAGCCTGTGCAGGAGAGCTTGTGGTTCGGGCGTGGGAAGGGGGCTCCATCCCGTCCCCCATTCATGGGCTGTGATCGCTCGGCCCTGTCACTCTTTTCCTCAGGCCTCGCTTTGCTCATCGGTGAAATGGAGCTCCAGCTCCTCACACCACTACAGGACTGGACCCTGGAAGGCTCCAGCAAGCATGCAGATGCAGAAGGTCGTGCCAGGCCCAGCGACACCCCCCCAAGCCTGTCCTACCTCTTGGGAGATGCCGGGGGGGGGGGGTGCTGCCTGCAGCCCAGGCCAGGACCCTGGGGAGGAGACGCGGGACAGGCTGAGGAAGAGGGGTCAAGTTCAGATCCAGGGGAGGAGGGAGAACAGCTTCCCCCAGCACAGCTTCCCCCCTCCCCGCCCCCACCGGGGGCTCCAGCAGCACGGGCTGGTCACTCCCAGAGGGCAGTGGCAGAAGCGGGACAGAGTGGGACAGAGCTACAGTGGCCAGGGCTGGGGACAGGAGACGACAGAGAAGCTTCCGGAGGAAAACCCTGGCTTCCAGACTGGAGGGACGCCCAGGCTGTCCCTGAGGCTGGGGGGGGGGGGGGGGGGGTGGGACGGGGAGGCCCAGGCCTGCGACCCAGCTGCTGTTTGTTTTCCTCCTTCTGGGCCCCTTCCCAAAGCAAACAAACCAGGGTGGGAAAATGAAGGGGATTCGCGGGAGAAGGAAGCGGCTGAGGCCAAGTGGCTCGACCCGGGAACCCCTGGGCTCCCCTGGCGAGGGCTCCCGGAGGTGACCCCTTGCAGGCAGCGTCCCAAAGCAGCAGGTGAACCCACACCAGGACTCCAACACTTCCAAGGGCGGTCAGCGCACAGGTCTCCTCCCAGTGGTGGAGCCGGGGCAGGAGCTCTGGCCCCAGCTGCCGTCCACTCCCGAGGGTGTGATTCTGCAGGGACCGTAGCCTGACCCTCTCCTGTTCCTGTTCGCTACACTTCCTTGAGCGGCACACACTGGAGAAAGCCAGGACTGGGACAAAGGTTTGGCTAAAACGTGTTCTGGTGGACAGAGCATGACCTCATCAAGACGGAAGCCAAGGCACAAAAGGACGATAAGAAAGCGGAGGAGACCTCGCAGGGGCTGCCGACGGGGCTGGATTCTGGATTTTTCTCTTTCCCTCGTCAACTTTTTTTTAACACCCCAACTTTTTCGCAATCACCCCCAAAGGAGCTTGCTGACTACCCAGCCCCTGTCCCCGACACGGCCCCGCTCCCTGCCACCTGCTGCCTCCACCCCGTCCACCGCTGGAATATGGGGCAATCGGGTCCCTAGACCTCAGCCAGATCCAACCTCGGCCAGATCCAACCCGGGTCCCAGCAGAGGCCTCAGGCTGTTGCGTGCAGGAACAAATTCCAGGGACCTGCCCCCGCCAGCTCGGGGGGGTTGGGGGGGAGCAGCCCGTGCCCTCACTATCGTGTCCCTCCTCTCCCCTCCATGCAGACCCCAGCAGCCCCCTCCCCTCCCCGCTCCAGGCAGGAGGGTCCTCCTCAGAGAAGACACAACACTGGGCCCCCACCTTAAGGGACAGGAAGCTGCCACTCCTTCTACGTGGCACCAGTCTCGGCTCCCTTGCCACCCACTCTCTCGAGTCAGCCAGGACCCACGGGAACCTCTTCCCTCAGTCCCCTCCAGTCCCCTCTGCCTTCTGTGCAGGAGCAGCAATCCCCATGCCTGGGGTCCGCTGGGCCCTGGAGGGGTGTGGAGGCTGCTGGGGCTAGGCTACAGAACCCACCTCCACGCCCCCTCCGGAGCCGGGTGTCAGATGCGCAGATGGCAGCAGCAGTGCCAGACCCAGGCAAGCCTGGGAGGACAAGGGGACGCCAACTCCTCACCCCAGGGCCAAGAGGGGCTCAGGCTGACAGGGGGCACCCATGGCGCTGCCGCCCCCAGTGAAGGAAGAACCCCTGCCCAACCACCTTCCACCTGCCCCTCGGGGCTCCCAGGCTTCCGACACAGGCCAGCCAGCGCCCCACCAAAGCAGGCTGATGGGGACATGAGGCAGCTCTCTGAACCCCGGCTCTCCTCTCTGCACTCCCCAGGGAGCAGCCCCCTCATTTTCTTGGCACAGCCCCAGCACCTGCAAAGCAGGCAACTCCTACTTCCCACCCAGCTCCAGCCCCCTCTGCCCCTTGCCCTCTTCTCCCTGCCCTGTCCCGCCCCTGGCCTTGGGGGAGCTGCCCCCTCCTCCAAGAACTAAGAACCCAAGTCAAGAGGGCGGGCAGCTAAGACGTGAGTCACCCCACCGGACAAACCTGCCTCCACCCACACACACCTCACTGGGCCTTCTGAATGCTCTTCTCGGTCAGGCAGAGGCTCTCCAAAGGGGACAGCAGAAAAAAATCATTCCAGAGCTGCGGGGTGAGCTCTGGGCTTGGAGCCCCAGGACCCAAGTGTAGGCGCTGGCTTCGTAGGGGTCTCACTGTGCGACCTTGGGCAAGTGCTTTAACCGCCCTGTTTCCATCTCCTCTGTGGATAGCAGACAACAACAGCTGCTTGGGAGGAGAGCCGGACAGATGAGGTGGGGACAGTCACGGAGGCTGTGTGCGGACCCCCCCAGGTCTCCCCTTGATCTTAGGTGAGCACCCATCAAGCCCTTGCTGGGGAGCTGGGAAGATTCTTCCCATTTTGCCAATGGAATACTGAGGCTCAAAGAGGTGAAGGGCTTTGACCACGCAACACAGAGCTGCGATGGAAATCAGTGCCTCTCCCCCGGCCCTTCTAGAAGCCCACCGGCCACCAGACCCAGCACACTCCAAGGCAACTGCTGCCCACGGGACCCACCCGTGGGCGTCCAGGAAAGGTGGCAGGCTGCTAGCCCTCGCCTGACCTACTGGGCTCCTACATGCTGCATTCTCCCAGCTCAGCCCTGGCAGCCCAAACAGAGGTTCCACAGGGAATGGGGAGGAGCTGGGGGGGGGGGCTCCTGTCACCCAAGATGGGGCTTGGTCTGGCCAGAAATGACTAATCGGGTCCTACCTCCCCCCCACCCCGCCCCAGACTGCCCAGCCAGGAGCCAGTTTTCACCAGGCACCTCCTAGCAATACTTCCTTGCTATTATCTTTTCATCACAGCCACAAACCAGATTAGCTAAACTAATCATTTAGCCAACGTAATTACAATGCCTTCCCCTCCTCCACCTTAGCGCAGAGAGGAGGGAAAACAGGCAATTTGGGCCCCAACTCCATGGCTTCCTAGAGGTGCGCCGGCACACACCACACAGCAGAACAGGGCTTCGGTCCCCTCCTCAGGCTCCCTCACCCCAAGGAGCAGCCAGATTCTGCCCTGGACACACCAGGGAGGTGGGTCTGGCCTCCCCTCCCCCTCAGGAGGCTGGGCTCCAAATCCCCCAAAAAAGACCACACTTGAATTCTTAAAAACCAGGGAAGACAGCCTGGTAGAGATCCCATGCCGGGCAGGAGGAGCGCTCGGGAAATTGGGGGGGGCAGGTCGGGTGGGGCCCCAAGGCATGTGTGAGGGAGCCTAGCATTGAAGCAAAGCACCCCAGAAAGCCTTGCTCCCGCCTCCCCCTCCCCCACCAAACTCTCCCGGGAAAGGGGGTGGGGAGGCGAGGGTCTGCAGAAGCTCCAAAAACTGGGAAATCAAAGGGAGAGCCAGTCCGGGCCTCAGCTCCCGCCAGGGAAGTCGCACAGGACTCGGTAGAGGAGGGGAAACAGACAAGAATCACCACTCCCCCACCTTCCGCAGTTTGGCCCAGTCCTGCCCCACCCCCATTCCTGGGGAGGGGGCAGAGCTTGGGAGAGAGCCACCAGCGCAGGCCTCATCCGAGGGGGTGTGGTGGTCCCCGGAGGCAGGAAGAGAAGGAAGAAGCTGCTTCCCTTCTCAGCCCACCCCCCACCCCGGCCCCCACCTCGGGCCCCAGGGGCCCAGCAAACAGGATGGGGGTGGGGGCGGGGGAGGCAGGTCAGGGCGCAGGCACTGGGCCGGCGCGGGGAGGGCGCCCTGCCCCAAGGAAGCAGGAAAGCCCCCAGAGAAAGCAACCGCGAACACTTCCTCCAGGAAAGTTTGTTCGGGTGATTTTTCAACAGGAAGGTAGAGAAAGGTAGCTCCGTTCCCACATCGACACTGTGGGAGCCACAGCGACAGAGAGCCGGGCCAGGTGACCCCGAAGCCCTTACCTAGGCACAGACCCCTACCCGCAAGCCCCAGTCCGAGCCACAGGCGCCGGACACCCACTGAGCACTGACCAGGGCTCTGCCCCAGCCCCACGGCCACCCCATCCCACTTCCGCTGGAAGAGCCCCAACCCAGCGCGAACTGGAGCGGAGGGGGGCGCCGCAGGTACTGCGCCGACGGAGCTCCGCGAGCTGCCAGGCAGGGCCTGCGGCTCCGAGCGCTCACCTGCTGGGCAGGTGGGGCTCGCGTCTCTGGGAAAATGCCTGCTTGGCCCCCACAGTTGGGCAAGCCGGGCGCAGACAATAGGGCCCCACCCAGGCCTGGGGGAATAGGGAGGGAGTGAGGGAAGGCGAGGATGACGCGTGGGTGGGGTGAGGGTGGCCCCAAAGAGACCAGTGGCAGCAAGTTTACTAAACCGTAAATTCCCAATAGCAGAGTGAGCCCTAGGACGCGGGCGGAGCAGGTCAAAGTCTCCCCAGCCAGCCCAGGGCGAGTCAGGGACGCGGCATCGAGCTAGCTCCGCGGACTCCGGGGGAGGCGCGACCCTAGAGGCACCTGTCCCGGCCCCTCCCAGCCCTTCTCGGGTCTCGGGCTCATCGAGGCCCGAGGTGCGCTTGGCCCCCACCGCGCGTCCCCTGAGTCGCCGTGCCCAGGACCGCAGCGCGCCCCCTGCCGCCGGTGCAGGGTGGCGCTCCCTGGCACCGGCCCTCACCTGCCCGGAACGGCTGGGACTGGTCTCTCGACCGCTCGCCGCCCCTTTCCTCTCCCCAACGATACCTGGCCCCGATCGTCCGCACCTGCGTGTGGAGCCTGGCCGGGCTGGGTCGGGGTCGGGCCGGGGTGGAAGCCGGCGTGGGCAGCAAACTGAGCTCGGCGCGCTCGGGCGGCGGCTGCTCCGGACTCTGGCCAAGGCAGCAACTCAGTAACCGAACAAAAGGCGAAGGGACCTGACAGCCAAGCCACGCCTCTCGCCCCCTCGAAGCTCCACCCCCTAGGGAGACGCCCACCCGCTGCTGCGAGCTCACTGGTTGCGGCGCCTGACTGTCCCAGAGAGGGGCGGAGCCTCGCGCCCAGTCCTCTTCCACGGCCGCCTCTGTTTATCCGATCGCCATTGGCCCAAGGGACTGCCAGTTGGCTCTAGGGATGGGCCCCCACTTGAGGCACCATATTAACTCTGCACCTATTGGCGGATAGAAAGTTACTTCCTCCTGATTGGACGAGGGGCTGTCAGTAAGATTAAGGAAAGGACCAATGGAAGGGATGGGGTGTGTCTTGCCCCACCCTAGCTTTGAGCAGGTAAGACTCATTACTCTCCCCTTCCCCCTACCTGTCCAACAGGTGAGTCAGGGGGCGCCGTGGGAAAGGACAGACGCCTTCGCCGGCCAGCCCACTTAGCGTCAGGCATGATGTTTCTTTGGGCTTATTCATCCTTGCGCCAAGGTAGTAATCACATAGTTGTGTAGCATTTCATAGGCTTTGTGCTGGGTTGGGATTTTTCCCCCCCGCAGAGGATAGAGAGTTCCTGAAATTTAGGACTAGAAGGCCTGGGTTTGAGTTCTGCCATTTGTTGGTGGCAGGTCGCTTCACCTTTCACCTTGTCTGTCCTCATCTGTAAGATGGGCACATTCACGAGAGGGCCAAGAGCTGGATGAGGTAAGGCCCTTGGACAACTGCTAAGTGTCGGGATTTAAATCGATGATATGATTTTTAAAATGCTGCTGACAGTTCCGAAAAATTGCCAGGACAACCAAACAATCCTCATTTTAAAGATCGGAGAAATCACTAGGAAACGACTTGCCTTGAGCCGGAGCCCCTTTTCTCTGATTTCAAGTCCCACCGAACCTCGGTTTGCTCCTCCTGGAGGAGTGGGTACTGACATCAAAGCAGCGGGGAAGGACCAGGGACACGGCAATTTGGTCCAAGGACAGAGCATTGGCATAGGGAGCTTGGGCAGGTGTAGACAGAATCAGGCAGTGGCCGTAAAGGAAGAGGAGTTGGGGCATCAAGGGAGTGGGGCAGCAGGGCTCTCTGTGGTCCAAGAGCCTGGGTTGGATATCAGAAAGAACTTCCCATGGGCAGTGTAAGGTGACAAGGGTATACCCTTACAGTGCCTGAGGAAATGAGTGCTGCTCATGACGTACACTGTGCCAAGAGTCTCACAGATGTCCACTCGTTCAGTGCAAGTATTGAGCACCAATTGTATGCTGGGCACTGGCTTAGACCCTGGTGGAGAGCTCACAGAGACTCTGTGTCAAGTGTCTGTAGCTTGTGTGTCTTGGGGGAGTGGTCGCGTATAGAGAGTCCACCCCTCCAACATGCTTCGCAGCCAGCCGAAGCCAGCACACAGCACGGGCTGGGGGGAGGTACCCCAGTGGCCCCTTGACCACCGTCCTCAGCAAGGGAAGGAGTGATGGCTGAACACTCTCTTGTCTGAAGCCTCACCATCCAGGAGTCTCCCTGTGATGGGGCCAAGGACGCATCGACATCCCTGAACCTACAGCCACCCCAGATGCCATGTCCCTGACCCGCTCCTCCAGCTGACCACGGGCCCCAGCCTGCCACACAGCACGGGGCCGCCCACAGCCTGGGAGGGAAAGCGCTCACCACCCTCGGCTGCTGCCAGGGCCAGGCTGGCTCTTGCTCCCCTCCCCACCCTGACCGGCACACCGACACACCAACACACACGTAGGCCTTCCCAGCCCCACACCTTGGCTCCACTCCCGCCTCATTCTCCTGACTTCAGCAAACGCGCAGGGTAGGGCTGGCTGACTGCAGAGAGGGGCGGGGGCACTGGGGTGGGGTGGAGGGAGGAACCCCTGTGTGTGCGTGCGCACGTGTGTGTGTCTCCCAAGAATGCCCCCTGCGTGTCTGAGTGCGGAACATGCTGCAACACGCCTGCCCCAAAGCTGGGCTCTAAGGCGGAGACTGGCTTCAGGCACCACCCACAGCAGAGAAGATAGATTCCAGCCCTGTCTCTCCTCAGAGGAGGGGATTTTGTGCGCATTTATTAAGCACCTACGGTGTGCCTGCCAGGCACAGAGGATTCCTCCGTAAGTGGTGTTCCCTGGAGTCAGCTGTCTGTAGAGCAGATTTTTTTTTTTTTTTTTTGACAGGCAGAGTGGACAGTGAGAGAGAGAGACAGAGAGAAAGGTCTTCCTTTGCCGTTGGTTCACCCTCCAATGGCCGCCGCGGCCGGCGCGCTGCGGCCGGCGCACCGCGCTGATCCGATGGCAGGAGCCAGGAGCCAGGTGCTTTTCCTGGTCTCCCATGGGGTGCAGGGCCCAAGCACCTGGGCCATCCTCCACTGCACTCCCTGGCCACAGCAGAGAGCTGGCCTGGAAGAGGGGCAACCAGGACAGAATCCGGCGCCCCGACCGGGACTAGAACCTGGTGTGCCGGCGCCGCTAGGCGGAGGATTAGCCTAGTGAGCTGTGGCGCCGGCCCTGTAGAGCAGATTTGCCCTCACAGGAGGAGGTGTCTGGGGGCAGGGACGAGGTGTGCTGGAGGTGTGCTGTGGCCACAGCCTCCCCTGTGCCTTGAACTTGAAGGAAAGGCCATGAGGTCATCTCCTCCAGGACACCCCCCCCCCCCCCCCGCCAAGCCTTTAAAGGTAGGGATTTCTCTGTTTGACAAATCTCCAGCTGCCCTGATGAGGCCCCTGTGCCCCAGTGTGGGCCGTGAGCTCCTCCCGACGTCCGGTCTCAGCCACACGCAGGGGTACTGATTCCGACATGCACATGATAGATGTGTCCCCTTTCTCTCCCACGGCCCCGCTCCCCTCCCCGGCATGTACCCACTGCCCCCTTTCCCTCTTCTTGAGCCTCAAGTAGCCTACAAGATGGCCCCTTCCATCAGGGGACCGAGGTGGACAGCTGGGTGCCAAGCTTCACAGCAACACGCAAAGAACACAGACAACTGGAAGTGCCTCCCGTGGGGCAACACAGGGTGGCGTTTGGCTCAGAGATTAAGACAACATTGGGGGGGACGGCGCTGCGGCATAGGGGGTAAAGCCGCCACCTCCAGTGCCAGCATCCCATAAGGGCGATGGTTCGAGTCCCAGCCGCTCCACTTCCAATCCAGCTCTCTGCTATAGCCTGGGAAAGCAGGAGAAGATGGCCCAAGTCCTTGGGCCCCTGCACCCACATGGGAGATCAGGAAGAAGCTCCAGGCTCCTGGCTTCAGATGGGCCCAGCTCTGGCTGTTGCTGCCACTTGGGGAGTGAACCAGTGGATGGATGGAAGACCTCTCCCTCCCCCCTGCCCCCCCCCCCCCCGCCAACCTCTGCCTCTCTGTAACTCTGCCTTCCAAACAAGTAAATAGATCTTTAAAAAAAAAAAAAAAAAAAAAAAAAGACAACACTTGGGACACCTGCATCCTGTATCCCAGTGCCTGGGTGCACGTCCGATTCCGGGGTCCTGCTAATATGTCTCCGGGGAGACAGCAGGGATGGCTCAAGTAGTTGGCTCCCTGCCGCCACCCACGGGAGACCAGAGATCTCTGTCTCTGTGTCTCTTTCAAAATCATAAATCTAGAGGCGTCTTGGGCATTTGCTCTTTGAAAACTCCCTCCATGGCCTCCCGATGGCCTCCGAGGGCTATGACTCTCCCCCCACCCAAGGCTAAGGGGCGGAGCCCCCCTCAGGCCATGCTCCAGGTACCAGTACCAGTGGCCAGAAACAGGAATTCCATGGCCAGCGCTGACCCTGCTGCCAGGCCTGGGGGTCTTTTCTCCTGGGAACCACAGCCTCCCACGTGCATCTGTGCGCACTGAGGCAGGAAGGGGAAACACAGTTAGGGCGGGGCGGGGGGGACAGGACACAGGCTGGGTATGCAAATCAGGGATCTACACGCCTGTGCTAGGGGCACAGCCAGAAGTGGGGAGGGGGCTGGGAGGCTAGGGTGCGGGGAGAGCTCTCTCAGGGGCTGCTGGGTTGGGGCTCTACCCAAGCGGGGGGGGGGGGGGGCGCTTGCTTGGACCCTCCTCTTCTCCACCCGGCCCCACCCACTGGTGTTGAGGGCAGGGCTTGCTCAGGTGACCCTTTCAGGGCTAGGGAGAGGACACTGGGTACAGAAGGGGCCCCAGGCTCTCCAACCCTGCACACTGCAGGGAGCCCAGGCAGGGCCTTAGAAGAGCTTGGATCAGATGGTGGTGCCAGACCTTGGAGGAGCAGGGTGTAGACGCTGCCTGAGAAGCCAGCATCCCAGAGGAGTCCTGGCTGCTCCACTTCCCATCCAGCTCCCTGCTAATGCCCCTGAGAAGGCAGCGGAAGATGGCCCACGTGCTTGGGCCCCTGCACCCATGAGGGAGACCTGGATGGAGCCCCAGCCTCCTGGCTTTAGCCTGGCCCATTTGGGGAGTGAACCAGCAGATGGAAGATCTCTCTCTGTCTCTGTCTCTCTCTCTCTGCCTTTCAAATAAATACATAAATATTAAAAAAAAAAAAAAAAAGACAGCAGGATGGAGGGGTGCCTGCTCTTCACCTGCCCTTTGTCCAGGGGAGGAGCCCTGAGGCCAGAGGCTGCCCACAGCCTGTGGGTGTGTCCTGTGGGCATGAGCCCAGCAAGTGAAGGCTCCTAATTACAGAGGTGGCTCCGGCGACACTACCCTGCACGGCAGTGTGTGTGGGCAGGAATGGAATGTCAGACGGAAAACAGGGAGACAAGAAAACTGAGATAGGAGCAGCCAGAAATAGTACAGGCCAGGAGGGACAGCAGAGGTGGGGGAGGGGCGGGGCCTCTGCCAGACCACTGGCCCCAGGCTGCCCCGCCCCCACCCCGGAAGTGGACCCCCACAGGCCAGGCTCCCAGCAGCTCCAGCCCCCTGTCCTGAGTGGTTTTGGGAGGCTGAGGGCAGGAGAGACCTGGCCACCTGACTCACCCTCTTCCTGCTCCTGGCCTGGGCGACTCCACGCAGAGGCTGACACAGCTGGGGCCCCACCCTCCCTGCCAGCCTGCCTGCCCC